CTCCCGCTTCCCTCCTGCCGCTCCTCCGCCCCTCGCCCGGCCCGGCTGACTGAACCCTCGTGCTGGGCCTGCGAGAGGAGCAGCCCCACGTGCTTTGTGTCGCGGCGGGCGGGATCTTGTCGTGATAACGGGATCTGCCTTCTCTCACGTGTGGCTATTGTGAATTACGCGTTTCTCGTGCCTTCTGTAATTAATTGTTCGGGCGCAGAACGGATGATGAATTACGATACGGGATGTGCTCCTTACTGCTGGAGGAGACAATATATAAAACTTTGGCCAATGTTTCTTTTCCTCTTTCTTGAAAACAGATGTGATTTAATGTCTTTCTTGCTTTTTTCTTACATACTGGAACACCGGGGACATAAACTGATGAGAGCTGGCATGATGTTGTTGACAAAACCAGAATTTATTTTGCAACGGTTGTTACGTGATTCCCTCTTGCCCCCCCCTTTTTTTTAACTATTTAGTAAAAATATACTCCTTCATTTCAGTTGCTTTATGCGTGTGTGGTGTGTACCTGCTTTGTAAAGGATATTCTAAATAGAGCCTGTGGGAGTGGACTCTTTCATCTGTAAAGTGAAAATAAGATTTAAGTGTCTTTGATGTATGGACTGTTTTTCCTCCTCTGTTATTCACACAACAAAAACCCCAAATGGGTTCCCTCAACTTGAGATAGCTGTTTGTGGCCTCATTAAACTTGCAGATGAATCTCCCTTCTAGGCTTCTCTACTGAACGCTTAGCAGTGCATATATATGAAGTGTTAGAGATGTTTATTGTTTACATGCTACTAAAAACAATTCTTAAGATTAATGAGTGCTATGACAGATTCCTAAATAACTAAACTTTGGCCACTTACCCATAACCCCCAAAGTTCCCCAAAGAGTCTTAAAGCAAAAAACTTAAATTATTTCATGAGTGTTGCAACTGGGCTTCAAAAAGACCTTTGATTGTGGGTGATTCTCATACGTAAGACTAGAATAATGAACTTCTGGATGTAATGTGTCCCTTAAGCTCCGGTAGGTGCTTGCTTTGGTGTTGTGGGGTTTGGTTTTGGTTGGTTTTTTTTTTTCCAATTAATGGTAAGTCACTAGCCACAAAGAAATAGTCGTGCTCTAGTACCATAAAACATATTACATAGGAAAAATAGTTAAACTTTTCTGTTACAAGAGCTATTGTTCCAAGGCCAAGCCTCTGCACAAGTAATAAGAGTGGTAGCACTAAAACATCTAGCATTGCAAGAGCACCTTTTTTTTCCCCATAGTATAATTGTATGTTGACTTTAAAGCCATTTGTTTTCAGCTCTAATAATTTTTTTTTTTACTGTTACAGGCTATTTCAGTTACTAAGATCTAATGGCTGAATAGTCATAAACATTTTCATTTTAAACACAGGTATGAGTACTTCAGTACACAGTAAGTTTTGTGAGAGTTTGTTTGTTTGTTTTCCCCTCTCCAGGAAACACACGAGGAGCATGATACTTCTACTGAAAATGCAGATGATTCTAACCATGATCCTCAGTTTGAGCCTATCGTTTCCCTTCCTGAGCAAGAAATAAAAACTCTGGAAGAGGATGAGGAAGAACTTTTTAAGATGTAAGTAGACTATTTCTGCATATTATCTAGATGTTTATTAGGCTTAAACTTGAATGTGTTTATAAAAAGCTAGATAACTTGTTAGGAATCTCTGTGTATGAAGTGGTAATCTAAGTTGGTTGGTATTTACTCTGGTGGCAGAGATTGAGTGGGGGGGATGATTGATGATACTGCCCCAAGAAAGTGAAGTCTGGAACAATAGAAGAGAGCAGATATTACAAATCTGGATTTAGTATTGTTTAGCCTAAATGAAAACATTAACTTGAATAATAATTAGAGGTTTGAAATTGTGTGACCACAGTATAAAACAAGTACCTTGGGGGAGAAAGATGAGACATACAAGACATACACAGTGTTGCTGCCATGCATCCCCAGCTGTGAAGGGTGATGTATGATATACTGAAACAATAAAAGCAATAGATGCAGTACAATATTGGGGCATTTGTGCCAGCACCTTTCTGTTGTCTTAAACATAGTTTTATCCTTATGTTGGGCTTATCGTCAAATCAGGATAGCTTAAGATGTATGATCTGCCTGAAGAAACATGTAGGCTAAAGGCTTAAGAAGTGTTTTGAATTTTATCCATGACGTGTTTACTTTAAATAGGTTTTAAAAATACTGCTTTTACTTAATCACAGAAGGGTATTGTTCATCCGGAAGAGAGATTTGAGATCTCCTTACACAGATTCTGGTAAAAACTAAAGCAAATGGACAGTTTCTGAGAAGTAGCATGGGGTGACATCTCTGATCATTGGGCCTCTCTGTACATGTGATGTGCAGAATCATATGGAAAGAAGAAATTTTTTTATTGAAAAGGGGAGGGATAAAACTGTAAGTTCCAGTGCTGTGTAGGTTAATCTTTATGTCTACAAAGAGATGAAGGAGGAAAGGAATCCTTTTTTTGAATGCTGGTTGTTCTGAGAGCTAAACTTGGGGGGGGGGATCACCTGCCAGCTGGACCTGGAAGGAAGGACTTGCTTTGGAACCAAGTAGTTCACCTGCATCAGAGCATCTCTTAGAGTAGCTTGCTCCAACTTCTGACACCTTCTCTTGAAGGACCTGGTTTATTACAAATCCCTATCCCTTGCTCTTTTATAGAAATATGTATTTTTATATAAATCCTGTAGTGTGAGCAGGTGCTTCCTTTCCTATAGCAGTGTCTTAAACTCCTCACTAGCAGAACTCAGCCTGTCTTGTGGGTTGGTTTTGACTAATGTCCCAAACTACTCCTGTTTCTCTTTTGGCACACTGGCATCTTGGAAGATTAAACAGGGATGTTCTGAAGCAGGTATGTTGCACTGCAGTGCAGCACTAAGCTTCCTTTATTCCTGATTTAAGAACAGCAACAGCTAAGTTTTTGGAGTGAAAAGGAAATGAGTGACTCTAGAGGGCGAGGCACTTTTGTTAACAGTTGATCAAACATTGGGCTTGGAATTATAAGAGTCTTTACTTAGCTGGTAGCTGCTCAATTTCTTGAATTAATAAATACTGCTGGTTAGATGTAGCAGTTGTATTCATAATATAAATAAGAGCTCTAGATATAGCCAAACCTGTTAATTAGCTACCTTAATTTAAAAGGTTGCCTACACCAAATATGTTTATCATCCCCAAAAAGCGTGTCCAGAACCTGTTGAATTTAGTATAGCTGTTGCGTAATTCCTAATAGTTTATTATTAAATCTGAATTTATCATGCCAGTTTCTAAATTTCTATGCTGAAGTAGAACAGGGAACCCTACAAAAGTAATTGCTTTCTTTCTTGTGTGTGTCTTTTAAAAAAATTACTGTACTGTTAGTCAATTACACTGTTTCAATAAGAGTTTCTACGTGCAGGCTAACTTCTTAAATTCTTTCTTCTTCAAGGCGAGCAAAGCTATTCCGATTTGCATCTGAGAATGACCTTCCAGAATGGAAAGAACGAGGAACTGGTGATGTAAAACTCCTGAAACACAAGGAGAAGGGAACAATTCGCCTCCTCATGAGGAGGGATAAAACCCTAAAAATCTGTGCAAACCATTATAGTATGTTATACATTGCTATTCTTCTTGTTTTATTTTTTTTTTTTAAATAAGCTTGTGGAATTGTACATTGCTGATTAAGAGCTCAGTGGCTTTTTAGTAGCAGCCGGAGAATTGCTATATGTCTTTAAACAGGCATCAAATTTATATTAGACTGTAAATATAGTTGTCTCTGGCTCTGCACACAAGGCTACAGGCATCAAAAACAATGAGTGCTTATTTTTATTAATGGAAAGAAGCTGTAGTTGGTTTTGGTGATTGCCTGCAAGGCTGAGTCTTAAAGTTGTTTTTTTTTTTTTCCTTCTTCACAGTCTGATAGTGTTCTAAAGACACTTAAGAATTTAGCTGGGGTAAACAGACATTATGATTGCTCCCAGTGTGTGTGTGGGGGTGGGGTTTAATGATTAATAGACTGTAGAAATTGTAGGCCTTAATACTGTTTAGCGTAAGAAATTAATGTATGCTGGCTTGTTTTCATAAAAGAATGAAAAATAAGCAATCATGTAATAATTTCCTACTTTGAGCTAAATGTTTGAATTGATAGAAGCAATTGCTTAACCATCAGAAAGCAGATACTGAGGTGCTAAACTAACCTATGGCTGCCTTTCTCTGCTTGTGAAATAAACTGAAATGAACGAGGTATATTCAGCTAACTCATTCAAAAAGAATGTGTATTGAGAGCTGATCAAGCCAGAGAGGTTTGTTCCTTTGATCCTCCTTGAATAAAAATAAACATGAAAGGACAAGACAGACTTGAAAGTCAATATAGACTAATTTGGTAATACTTTGTTACTGGCTTGCTTTGGTAATACTCAGGGTTTTTTTATGAAGAGTATATAGTATTCTGTGGAGTTAAACTACATTTAGATAATGTGAAATAAATTGTTTTAAGTAGCTTAATACAAATCTGAAGTCAGAAGCAGTAATGCTTGTTTTCTTTGGGTAGATATCTTCAGAAAGTCAGGCTATTCAGAGGACCCAGGTGTTCTTGTTTAGTAAATGAAATGGCAAATAGGAAAACAGTGTAGTCACCAACCAATAAGAATAAACCTTTTGTTTAGGAAAATAAATGTTGCACATATCAATTCTGTTTTGCATAAATTTATAGATTTGTCATTCATTTTTTTTCCTGGAGAAACTGCTGTCAGTATAGATTTCTTTATTGAATATATGCTGACTCACAGGCAGACAAAAGGACTCTTCATTTTTGTAAAACATTGAATGAAACAAAATGTAGTTTGATCTCTAAATTTAAAAAATGCAAGAAAGCGAGTAGACTCTTCGTATTTCTCCCGAAATAAGCAAACGACCCAGGAGGCAGGGAGAAAAAAAGCCTTAATTAAACTTTGCATGTGTGTAATGTAAAAAGTCTTAAGAGTAGTGTGGGAAGCAACGTTCCAACTTCTCCAGTCAGTCAGGTGAAGTAATAACAGTGTCTTGGAGGGAAGGGACTCCATTTACTGGGAAGGAACAAATGGATTGAAAATATGCTGTGCGCATCTTGCAGCGCTGCAGAATTCTAGAATACCTTGTAATAGAGCTTGAAACTGATGGGAGAGAAGAACCTGATTCGATGACTAATTGTAGGAATAATGCTTTTTAAAAATAATTTTTTGTAGTATGTAGTATTTTCAATGTGCAAAAGAAGAATGAATGCTGTTTGTGTGTCTGGATGCCTTCTCCTCCTAAATCGTTTGACTGTTCTTCAGAGTTCTGCTTAGTGACTGCATCTCTCTTAGTATCAGTCATTTGTTTTAAACAAGAATTGAATCAAACTTTCAGTTTCTTAACAATAGCATTCTTTTATACAGTAATGGTCTTGCATCATTTTATTTGAGGACGTAAGGAAAAAATATATATGGGCACCATTGTCTTGTATTTATCCAAAAGTAATTCTGTGTAAAGTGCTTTACATAGCCATCACAGTCAGTTGTCAGTAAGATTTACGGAGGCTGGTGTGGAAAACATTTACTATTGTGCTGTGTACATCTTCTAATGCTTTCTTTTCAGTCACACCCTTAATGGAACTGAAGCCTAATGCTGGGAGCGACAGGGCATGGGTCTGGAACACACATGCTGACTTTGCAGATGAAAGCCCCAAGCCTGAACTTCTGGCAATCCGATTTTTAAATGCAGAGAGTGAGTGGAGTGGAACTGAACTTACGTTGATTGTATACTGTTATGTTACGCTACATGTCCAAACACTACTGTAAACCGCTGTTGTAGATATGCTGTATCTTACCCCTGCACAGTAGTGCTAGCTAATGACTGCTTTGACTGGGAGAAGTCAGTTCATCCCTTAAACATATGTGTTGACAAACAGTGTGATAATTAGGTCTCCAGTAATATTTATAGAGCTTTCTGCCCTAGGCACTTTTTGTGACTTAAGCTGTTTCGTGCAAGTGTAATGCCAATTAGAAGAAAACTAAAAGCACTAATGCTACAGGGTAGAGATTAATATATGCAGCTTGCTTTCACTTATCTCGGGTGCCCAACTGTAGTTAAGATCACATTTTTGCAATAGAAGCAAGGAAATACTGACCTGAGATTTCTGGTCTATCTACATTAGCAGAACATCTGATTTTTTTATTTTTAGTCATTTTTTTTTTTAAATGAAGTATGTAGCAGCATCTTTGTTTTGATTAAATGGAACACTCAGTGAAAAGTGCTAGTCAAACCTAACTATAATACTAGTTGGTGGGTTTTTCTAGAGTGACTACATGGACTACCAGAACAGAAAGTAGGTCTGCAATTACATATGGATCAGCTAGTAGGGCTGAATGACAGTATGGCTTTCCCAGCTCCTTAGGATTGAATCAAAGAAGTGGTGGCTTTTTTTTTTTCTTGAAAAAAAGATGATGTTGCATTTACTGCTTTACCATTTGCCACCCAAGTTCAGTGTCTTAGCCACCTCTTCCTACATGCTAGGTGGCTAGTAAAGAGGCTGTGTATTTTAAAACTAGATGGATTTGCCTGCAACCAGGAAGAACTTAATATATCTTGCTTCCTTTTCCTCAAGTCTCCAACATCATATTGTTTAGCCAAATAAATCTTTCTGATCCACCTGCTTAGTGCTTTCTTCTTTCTTAATCAAATATGAAAGTAAAGGCTTTTTGGTAACTACTTGACCTTCTTTGAAAAGTCTTTCTTTCTGGTAGAGGTTGTTCAGCTTACTGAGTGTTTTGTCTTGAGGGAGTAGTCCTCTTTGCCTGTTTACCCTTTGCAGTGCTGACTAAGCAGATGAGAGGTTAACAGACATAAGTATGCCCTTCAAGTATCTTTCCTTTTTGAGATGGTTGAAAAGGAATCAATACAGGTACTTCCTGGACTAGATTCAGAGTGGCTTCTGAATTCCTGTAGGGCAACAGTGGCCTCGTGTGGTCAGTCAGACCAAGTTGGCATACTAAATTACCTTCTTAATAGTTCTGGTGTTAGGAAGTACCTTGCCTGATCTGCTTTTGTGTCTTGGGGCTTGTATTACTTCTGTAGAAACATCATTGTAACTTGGATCAACTGCTTGGAATGACTCTTAAATCGAGTGGTGGCTTAGACTAAAACACAATGAAGGTTATGCTTCCCCAGCTGTTGTAGTCAGAAATAGGTTGAGTCCAGGTTTACAGTCTGAATGCTGTACTAATGAAAGAGGCTTTATCTGCCATTCTTGATGCTAAGAACCCTAAGTTATGGTAAGGATGTGGAGGCCTTTTAGGGTATAATGTAGCTGACAAGGATTGTAGTTAAAAGCTAATCTTTAGTCTGTTGGACACAGATAGTCATATTAGCAGTCTCTGACATCATATTCCTCTAGGCTAGGGACATCTGGGAGTTGCAGTAACTACAAAACAGCTTCTTCTGGCTTTATGTTTTAAATATTTTGCAAAACAAGCTGCTTTAATAGACTTGCTAGAAAATAAACTGCTTCTGCGCAAAGATGTGATTCAAGAATTTTGCATAGCATCTTGCATGATTTTAAGTTAGATTACTTCATAAGTGCCTGCAAGTTTTGTTTACATAAAACTCTTCCTCAGGTGTTTTCCCTCAAGGTTGGAAGTATTCAATGTTGCAAGGAGGTAAAACTAATGGAAAAATATTCTATCTTTACTGAAACAGATGCACAGAAATTCAAGGCAAAATTTGAAGAATGCAGGAATGAAGTAGACAAGAGAGCAAAGAAAGGTAAGGCTAAAAGTTTAAGTGTAGTACCATGCCCCTTTTTCTAGCTGTCTGAGTGGTTATAGCCCCCTGGAGTATCGTTGTGTTTTAGCAGACTCACTCTGTACTGAACTGCAGTCTTCGGTTCAGGTGCTTTTTCTGTCTGCAAGAGTAATAGTTCACAGGAGTGACAACTGCCTTCTTTCTTGTAGAAGGCTGTTACAGTTGCTGTTGGAACATTGCTTTTTTGAAAAGGCTACTACGGAAACATTTCTGGTTTATAGTACACAAATGACCTGTCAGCACTGCAACCACAGTTATATTTCCTCCTTCCAGTTCCCCTTCCCAAGTTCCACAAATACATAATCATGCAATTAGAATGCTTATTTTTTTATAGTTGTTAACATGTATGAAGTTGTAGCATTTCTTCACAGGTCTCTCCATTTAATATATTAATACTGTAGAATTGCCTATGTGGCAAGATATCTCGCCATGTAAAATAAACACTTCCATCTTTCTGCAGTACAGATTACTAGCGGTCTGCAGTCAATGCTCTTCAAGATATTTAGACCGGAATTTTTTGGTCTTAACTTCCTATTCCCGAGTTTCCAACTGGGGAACCTGACTACTTTTGTTGTTGTTAAGATAGGCAAGAAGCTAGGGACTTGAGACATTTACTTTGACACTGTATAGAGTCTGTTACTAGTAGCAGCAAAGCTGACCAAATATTGCATGTTTCTTAGTTGCTATGATTAGGCCCTCATTTAGGGATTAAAATATGCAAGTGGCATTTCTTGAATTCTGACATCTTAGGTAATTGCCAAAGGAAAAGAAATGGAATGAATCACTCCGGTGCTCAGTGGAGAAATTCTTTACTTTTGTTCTTATTCTAAATAACCAGCTGTCTCTCCCCACCCCCCCTACCCTCCACTTCTTTCCCCTGTAACAGGAAAATCCATTACTGCCTGTATGTAACTTTTTTCCTAATCAATCTCTTAGCAGGCACAGACAAAAATGATAGTGCTGATAAAGTTGCTGAAAAACTAGAAGAGCTTTCTGTAAAGGAAGAGAGCAAAGAATCTGAGAAGAAAGAGACCAAGGAAAAAACTGAAGAAAAGCAATAAATCATCCTGGGCCTTGCAGTTTTTCCTTTACTTTTTTCTTTCTGGTTTTTTGTTTTGTTTTTTAATTTTTACAAGGGACTTTATAAGGAACTGAATTCAATGTTCAGATTGTTTTTTCTAAGCTTTTGCCCTTTTGAAGATGTCTTCAGAAAATCCATTCCCCAGTCATGAAAATGTACTGTGCTAACTTTCTTTTCCATAGTGGAAACACTTATTTATAGTCATCCAAAAGAGTGAATAAAGCAAACTTGAAAAACAGCATCAGAGGACAGAACTGAGTTTTCTATATGCTTTAAAGGCTTATGAATACACTTGTTTCATTGGGTGTTGAGATACATGTCATCATACCTGTGGATTAATTAGGTTAACAGACACTACCAACAGGGAGGATTAAGATTACATACTTGTTTCTTATATGGCTTCTAAAACTACTCTTAACAGGACCTTTCACACTTTTTCTGCTGTCTGTTCCTGAGCAGGGAGTGTACCTGTGATTCTTGAAATGCAGCAGACTTCTGGAATCAGGCGATAGAGCATTCCTGGCACACTATTAATGATGTTCCGTCAGACAGTGAAAATAAAGGTGGGGGAGAAAATATTACGTGAGACTTGAGAGAAGTGTTTTGCTCTTACAAAACAAAATCTCTGTTCCTCCCTCACCCCACCAAATTTGTTAACATTACAAATGCTTGACTCTAGCATAAAGTTGTTGTTGTGGTCCCAGATCTTCCGTGCTGTACTGCTTGCTGACTGAAGGCAGCAGCAGCCTGTTACACTGAGGTGTATACAAAAGCATCTTAGCTGTTGGAGTAGCTTACCATGAGATTCCCTGTGTCAGCATATCATAAAAGTTGTACTCTAAAAATTACAAGCTTTTTTTCAGGCCTTTGGAGCTTGCATTGTTTTTATAAATTGGAGGGGTTCTGAACTTTTTAAGATGCATGGTGGGAGGCTGTCCCCTCTTGGAGAGTGGCAGTCTGACCTTCGCTTTGGAACAGTTAATTATGTTACACACGCTTGAGGGGCACTTCCTTGCCAGAATGGACAGACTGATCAAATCTCTTCCCTGCAAATACTTTCTTTTTATCTGGTTTCAACTTAGTGCCAGAGAGTAGGAAAATAAACTATAGTGAGCAATAAAATCAACACAGTTTTTAAGTCTGATAGATTAATTAAATGTCATTGTTAACCGCTAATACAAGGATAGCGGTAGGGTAGTGATGGAATTCTGTAATACTGTTTCCAAAATAATTATGAAAACCGGACAAAACTTCATAAACTTTAAGACTGTGTGATGTTAACATTGGATAGCAAGACCTTTTTATCTTCATAAAGAGGCTTTCCAAGTAGGTCAGGCTCTGCAGTCTACCTGAGGAAACTAGATTTTAAAAAGAAAATCTTGTCTTTCTACTTAGCACTGCCTTTTGATGCTACGATGAACTAGTCTTAAAGCTGGAACTGTAACTAAGGTACTCGCTTTATTCAAACAAAGTTAATTCCTTTGGTGTTGTGCATGTTCCCCTTCAAATGCAGCAGATATCAGAAGTCTCTTAATTAACAAAGATGGTTGAAAGGCAAAATAAAATGCTCTTTAGTGTTTCTGGTTTGGAAATAACAAGACAAAGCTATTCTGAAGTACTTAACATTTGAATGTAAAAGCCAAATCTTTATCCGTGAGTCACTGTAAATTCTCTGATCTGATAATGTCAAACAGTGTGTCTAAATTGATAGAAATGACATTTAAAAATTTCAAAATAAATTTAAATTTTCATTGAAAGGATTTGCTTTTTATTTAAAGAACTCACTGGGAATGCATTCTTAGCCTGCTGGGGTAAAATGATGAAGGCAAGCAAAATGGGTGAGTTTGATTTCACTGTCAAACACTGCACAGCAGAGGGGAGGAAACACTTAAATGACTGAATTTGTCTTAATCTTAGATATTGATGACTCCTGCTTAATTTTATTACTCTTTCTTATTCTTCTCTTTACTTATTCTTGCATGCTTAAATGATTTCAAGACATTTCCATTCCTGTTTAGGTTAACTGATCCATGTTTACAGTTCATGGATTACAGCCATCCTTAATGCAAGCCTGCAGTCTCAAAGAGCCAAGTTATGAGGAACCACTAAGTCAAACAATTTCTGAGCATAGCATTTGACTGAAGAATGTCTTAAGTCTTCTAATCTAAAGGATGGTTAGGTCACTTTAGAAGCCGTAGGTATGCTGTTCTACAAATTAAAAAGCAGTAAGTATTTTTAAAATTGATCTCGGTGAAATAAGGCTTTTTTTGTGCAAGTCATTCTAATGATAAACTTTCCTATATGTAAGGTAGACTACCACGAGATGTCCTTGAAAAGTTTTTGTAGCTTACTGTATACTGACTATTCTAGAGTTCTAGCTGATGTAGTGTCGTCTTGTCCCCCCTGCCCAGGTCACCAGGTATTCATGCTTTCCCACCATCTTCACTGTTAACAGCGTTGTTGAGATGATGGAACCTGACCTGTCTTGTCAGGCAGTAGAGGGTCTGAAAAATTGTGATAGTCCTTTGTCAAAAAGGTAGGCTTGTAGTGCAAAAGTTCCTGAACTTGTGGGCAACTACTAAAGTATGTCAGTTGCCTTATATTTGTTTCTGAAGTGGCAATAACTTCAGTGTGATTTAAATGTCTGAATCTGGTTTTAGGTAATGTGTCGTAGTAAAAATGAATAACGTAGAAACTTTTTGAATTTGTTGTTGAGAGACAGTGAATCTTTAATTTCTGCATTTTATAGGGGTGTGTTGAGACTTGTCTCTAGGATTTACTTTCCCTTTAACTCCCAGTGAGGCAAAGTAACTCCTAGTATGGTTAAATGTAGACTAAAATAATGGGGAACGTAGTTTTGTTAATGCAGCTGGCTAGAGGATGAAGTCTTAAGTACTTCTAACTTCAGTAGCAGCATTACTGAGAATATGGCTGAATCTTACAGAGGGTACAAGTGAAGATTTTTAAGAGGTTTTAATCCATTTTTGATAAAAATGGTAACTACAATATTTGCAGTAGTTACGATTAAAGCATTGTCAGGTGCTAAAGTCTGGAATTTGTACCAATTCTGCTTGCTTCAAGTGCAGTAAGATGCTATATACCCAGGCTTAATAACCCAGTCTTTGTTGGTACTAATGGATTTGTGTGCATAAAACTGGATGGATGAGTGTCCATTATCCACCTGAATAATGAAATTAACTTAGAAGTAGTTACATTTTGATGGGCATCAAAGTAGTGTCCTCTTAACAGGTAGTTACGGACTTAAAAAAATTGACTTGAGTTTTTTATAATAAATTAATTCAAAATAGCTCTCTAAATCCCATGTTAATTATTTTGAAGAATATGCTCATGTTTGTTTGTTTTCTCCAGGAATAAGCTTGTATTAGTGATACTAAATGTCCCATTCACAAACACCCCAACTTGCTTTTAACACTGTAAATGATGATTTTTTTTTTTCCTGTGTAATAAGGTAGCTTGTATCAAACACAAGTTCTCTGTGATACCAAAAACTCAAAAAGTTAAAATTCTTCTCAACACTATGCAGACATGACAATGTTGAGTCTTTATTGGTTTTGATGCAACGTGCTCACGAAATACCTGTATGTAAGGGGCAAAAATAGGGGTCTGAATAGTTCTTTCAATTTTGTTACTAAATGTCTTAGAACTTATTTAATTTAAAATTTGAAGGCTTTAACTGAAAAATTGATTGATTTGTACCTTTGTCATGGAAAGAACTTGATAGGGCTGTGCACAAGAGGAGGAGGAGGGGTGAGGTGTGCCGGGTACACCACCTCTTTCCTCCCTTGGCATTCTGCATAGGTGTGTGGGGAGCTATTTGGTTCAGAAAGCATCCGGAGCCTGAGCAGTACGTTGCTGCCTGGGAAGGAGCACCTGCAGCCCAGACTGACCGTACCAGTTAGGAGTGTGGATTTCCCAGTTTGAGCATCTGTCAGGTCCAGAAGGTGGATGCTGTGATTTATGATTTCCCAGAACAGAAATGAGATGCTGTTGTATCTCTCAATGCATTCCCTTGAACCTAATGAAAAAGTTTAATGTTACTAGAAACCTTCCTATAAAGAAAAGACTCTCTCTATAAAGATTCTGAGTTCAGAAAACAGCTTCATACCTTACTAATACTGAATTGCAACTATTTGTGAAGAAACGGAGATCGCAGGGGAGATAACATTATAAACCACCTTATTTTTTTAATCTCCGGCACACATTGCTGTCAGCTTACGGTGCTGAGTACTTAAATGATGGTGTAACGTAACCCAAACCTCTCCCCGATTAAGTCTCTGTAGCCGTCTTCATTTATGTCCTTCTGTTCCCAGTACACCGATCTGTTCTGGCTGGTCCAGCTTGTTGCTAGCAAGCTGTATTTTCTAAGCTGTCTAAGCTAGTGTCTTAATTTTGATTAGCCAAAATCATTTCAAAGTGTTCTTAAATTGCTGAGGTCTTGTCTATGTGTAAACTTGCACTAGTTTAGTGAATGAGGTGTGTGTAAAGGATTTTTTTTTTTCTTTTTAATTTTTGCTTTTAGGATGGTTTATTTAGGATTTACTTTAAAGGTCTTCCTAATTAGATTTATCTAGAATTACTCTTTAAAATAGAAATAAGGCATTACCTTAACTAAATCTTTCACAATATATCATTTTCAGAGTCAGGAGATAAAGAAAACTAACTGCAACAGATCAGAATTATTTTGCTTGATGAAGAGAAGTTTGAGGTAATCAGCTGTAGAGTGGATTGTACATGTAAGTGATTTATCAGACTGTAGTTCATGCAAAAACGAGGTGCGCTCTCAAGTAAGCAGCTCGTGCAGTTATAAGGAAATAATTCTTGAAGCTGTGAAAGCTGACAAGCACAGGAGCAAAAAACCCGTATATTTAAGAGTTGAATGGTTATTAGTATTTACAGTTATGCATCATATTTATGAACACTGGTGTCTTTTTCCAATATGCAAATTAAGTGTGGAATATCTTTGTCCACTTCTATTACATCAGACGTTAACCACTGACTTAAGACCTGTTCATATTTGGAAGACTTGTGTAACTAGTTTGGTGCAGTCTCCTAGTGAAAATGCAGCCTACATTAGATCCTTAAGCAAGTAACATTTGTAGAAATACTTTTTTTTTTTTTTAAATATTAATGGTGAAGCTAGGGTTTGCAGAGTATAGTTTGTTATGCTTTTAACCGATATGGCAAATGTTTTAAGTACAAACCAGGTGCTAGCACAATTCTGGATTAGATGTTGTGTACAGCAAACTTTTTACTTTATGGAAGGTATCCGACTACTGCAAGTATTTAATGAACTTCATAGTCTTAAGCTTATTTTCAACTTTCAAGCTGCAGAAGTTCAGCTTTTTGTTGTTATCAATCTTGACTCTACAAATTTACATCAGCTGATTCACTGTATTGTAAATACTGACTGTTGTATCAAGATGTGCAATTTACTTACGAGTTAACAGAGAAGCTAATGGTGTCACAAGTTCTTGCCTATTCGTGTTGTGCTGGCTGTCCTCATTTCAAATAGCTAAAAGCATATGGTTTTCTAACGCTGTTTTTCCATAAAAGCAATTATAGGTATGTAAACATCAACAAAGATGGATTGGACATTAAAGTAACTGAATATTTTGCATTCTTTGGAGGATATTTCTCAAGACGATTCTACTAGGTATATTGCTTCATATAAATAGTGCTTATCAGTTTTAGTATCTTGATTTGTTTGCTGGTATATGAATCACTGTTGGCTTTCTGAGTTTCAGCATCATCATGTAGAGTGATACTCCATCCCAGTGGAGGAGAATTACACTTTATTAATGGTTTTAAACAGGATGTTTGGTGAACTTCCCAAACCATTCAGAGGCCTACATTATTCTAACGTAAGTAGTTCCTTGGGGGAGGGGATGGTTCAGGAGTTGGTCTGTAAATAAAGTAATCAAAAGTCTCATAATAAATGCAGCTTGACATGCCCCATCACTGCCGTTTGGAAATAGACATTACCTGAGTTCTGTTCTAAGCAAATGCCATTCCATGGAAAATATCTTTTGGAAGACTCTAGAAAATTGTGTGGGATATCTGTTTAGGCTACCGAAAGGTCATTATTAGGGCAATAATTTCTTGATATATCTAGTAACAAACTTGAACAACTAAAGGAAAATTGTCATTCCAATGGGTAATCTGGTAGACCTGGCTTGTGCCCAGAACCGTTTCACCTTGCTTGGACTTTCTGCCAGCACCATGCTGCACATGATGATCCTGAGCACTGCAAAGTTTGAGGGAAAAACAGTTTTTACTGAACACCTAATCGCTGATTCTTCAGGGTCCTGCCAGTGACCCTGAACAGTTCGCAGGTCATCATTACTGCACGGACTGGCAAATGCATTTATTGTAATAAGCAAATCCAGTAAGGAAAGTAGAATTATTTATTCTGATCATTGTTTAATGACAACAGCTAATATGAGCTAGGAGCTAAAATGCCGAGTGACCAATAAAAGATTCCAGGGGTTTTCAGTACTTCCAAGTGTGCAAAATGAAAGAATCCTTAACCACGTAGCTAAGATTTCCAGGTAACATTAGTGCAATGATATGATCTGAAAATTGCATGGCAGTCAGGATTTCTTGATGCTTGCTCTGTCATGAGTTTTCTTTCATCTTACCAGCTTTAAGAATGGTACCCTGGCATGTGGCTCCAAAACAGCTTCTGTGGTTGACACTTTCTCTTTTGAGGTAAAACCTCAGAATAAAATCTTGCAAAAAGACATGCAAGACTAACCATACTCTGCCAGACTATTTTTAGATTGTTCTTTGTAGCTGTATTAGTTCTTTGAGGAGTCATTAAGTCTTTTCCTAGCTCATGCTGCCATCACTGTTTACCTCAGTGCTGCCAAAATCTTCTGGCACACTAATTGGGTAGCGTGAATCCAGAAACTACAGTCCTTGAAAGAAAGGCGTTCCAGGAGAGCAACTCTGAGACATGCCTATCCTGCTTTAGTCAGGTCCTCCTTAGCCATCCTTATTGTTTGAACGGTAAAGCCATCTGGTGGCTTTAAATATACTTACCTTTTCATAGTGAGGTTGAATGTTGCTCAGCAGTGCTTTATGCTGTCTTGAAAATAGACCATTTTCAAGAACGGGAACGTTAATGGGAAGGAAATGAGGTGAACTGTGGGAATCATTGGACACCAAATCGCATAAGTTTATCGATTTTTTGATAATCTACAATGTGCAGCAGAAAAAAAAATTATCAAACACAATTCTGCATAACACTGTAGCCCTGTAACGTGGAACGTCTCAGCCCTCTTTTAAAAATGCTGGTTCTGCATGACTGCACTGGTGCACAGCAAAAGCGTCTTGATGCACAGGATGACTCTGCAGCGCAGACCAGGCTTGCACAGTGATCTTTAAGATCAGTTGAGGTTTGCAGATGCGCCTTTTTTGTTGCTGTGAAAGCTACAATTCTTTGTGCCCTGATGCCACATACTCACACTTACCTTTAGTGTCCCTTTCTCTGAGCATTGCATGACTGGGAGATTAAAAAAAAAAAAAAAAAAAAGCCAAGTTGCTTGCTGCCGAGCACCTCCCTTCAGAACAGGAGTGGCTTGAAGGATTGGTCCTCTAAATGGGGCTGTTACAGTGAGACTGGAGAAGCATTAGTGCCTCGGTGTGATAAAGTAAGAACCATTCTGAAGGGTGGAAGGAGCAAGAGCTCCCCACTCCCAAAGCTGTCTTTGAGAACCAGACTTTCTCTAGAGGAGAGAATCCTTACAGGAAAATACAGTTGAAAGTGATGAGGTGCAGAGAACAGAGCAGGAATAGTCTCTTTAAGAATAATGCCTGTGTTCATGTTAAGGAATGTTACTGTTCTAGAAAGGCTTTGTCTTTAAAAAGAATGAAATTGAAGTAAATCGCCAGCTTCCAAATATGTATCTTAAAATGAACTTGAGCTTATTGCTCCCTAGTTCCTGCTAGAAACTT